CAGTAAAAGAGAGTTCGTATTGCATTTCTCCATTTTTTCTAAATTTGTTAGGTACAGTAGACTCGTCGTAGACTCGTGCTAGTGTGAACACACGCTTCTGTGAACCTCCCAGTAGTATGAACAGCTAGAATGAATGCATTATACATATTCTGTAGAGTGAACTTTTGAGAATATCGGTAGTATGAACAATGTTTTTGACTACGAATTTAACCGTTTTCTGCCTACTTGTTGTTTTTATCGATTGTTTCCATCCAATCATGGGGTTCCTCGAAGGTTTTGGGACAAGGAATGCACAGATATGTTGAGTTACTGCATTCACTCTAATGTGGAATACGCAAGTGGCAGCGCTTCAAGAGCACGTTCAAAATTCTATAAATCTTCAGTTCGTTGTTTGTTGTGGTTAATCAGTTTTGTAAAAATGGCGAAAAACACAATTTTTTCAACTCTCTATGGGTCTGTTCTCACAAGAGTCTCTGACAGTTTGCAAACTGTCAGAATGCATCGCCCCTGCATGTTTTCAATGCCGTCATTCCAAGATAACTCAGTAACTTAGCTGAGCGATTGTTACTGACAGTTTGCAAACTGTCAGAGACCTTATGAGAAGTCAAAAATTCTAGAAGATTGCCAGCAAGGCCATAGCATATATTCGCGCTAATGACACAGAAAGCCTAAGAAACTTTAAGACAAAGTAGGTAACCATCCAATGCTCAGGTAAAACCATTTAGACAAAAATTACATCTCACTTTAATCAATAAACTGGGAAAATTTACTTAATGGATAGGTTTGCAAGTACCTACGGTATTAATTTTTCTTGAATTTTAAGTTTAGAGACCATTGCTGACAATATTTTGCATTTTTAGGTAGACCTTCGATAGTGTGAACGTCTCGATAATATGAACACGTCCGGTTTTTTTTGTGTTCACACTAGCGCGAGTCTACTGTACTTTGAAAAATTGGCTGACATTTTCATTACATTCAACGGAATAGACCTAAAGTGCGTTTTTTTTTTAAAGATAAAAGTCAAACTGACATTAGGTTGGCATACAATGTAAAATTGTCAATGCTATCAAATTTTTCATGTAGAAAAGGCTTGTGTTGCCAACATAGTTACTAAATTTTTGACTTGGGGAATTATCTTTAAAAAAAAACAGATTTTATCTATTTTACCAGACAAAGAGGTAATAATACGAAAACTTCATGAGATAAAAAAAGACACAGAACGCTCATTGCGCAAGACGAGGCAAAACGTACCAAATTATGTCAGACTTACGTACAGCAATCCGTTCTTCTTATTTGCACGGGATAAAAAAGGAAGGAGAAAGATCGCGTGCTGTGCAACGTATTTGTCAATGAAAACTTCAAACAACTTTTGAATGTTACTTGTCAAGCTATGTCAAGTTGATTATCAATCGTACTTTTATTCTTGTCAGACCACGGGCAATGAACAAGGAGGAGATGCCCAGCGTGCAAAACGAACACCTCTCACCTGTACTAGTTAGCCAATGAAAAGTCATTGCCTCATGTTGCGCGCGCATACCAGGTAAAAATAGATAGGTCTATTGAATTTCACTTGACTTAGGGCCGGTATTATAAAACACTGAACCGATGGTAGAGTTTCAAGTTCCAACCTTCGGTTGAATCCTATCAATTTGCATGAAACTCATTCATCGATTCAGTGCTTTATAATACCGGTCATTGTAAAATTACCTAAACAAATGATGCGGACAGTGAATTTGTTGCGGAAAAAAATACCATCATTTTTAACAAATATCGATATCAAATAAGTACGTTCAAGTAATGCTCAAAAAGGGGCGTGGCACCAAAAAAAATTAGCCTACGGCGGTTGCCTGCGGCGCTAATGGATATGGTCTTATTATAATACTGCCCCCCCTGTGAAACCTCGTAACGACGCCCATGGTTAACAAAGTGACGTTTTTTTGACGTTTGGAGAAAAAATCATTAATCTAATAAAATGTTCCTGCAAAAATAGTTATTTTTGTATCTAGTGCGCGAAATGTTACTTTGGTGATCGAGATCTGATGACGACTAACCCAAACAATATTTTCTCTACAACTCCATTTAAATATCGATCATTCGAAGCCAAAATTGCATTTCCAATCAAAGGTAGGTGAATTTTAATTATTTTTGGTTTCCTGACAGGTATGTGTCACCATGACACCAGTGTGCGAACTAGCTATTTCGCGCACTAGGGTGCGAAATAGCTAGTTCACGCACTGGTGTCATGGGAACGTTAAAAAATCGATACCTGGGAAAAAAAGTGTCACTTCGCAAACTGTCATGAGTGTGCGAACATCATCATTTTTTGACAGTTGTAGAAAATAGTTATTTTTGTATCAAGGGCGCGAAATGCTACTTTGGTGATCGAGATCTGAGTTAAAAAAATAGTCGAGATCACCAAAGTATTTCGCGCCCGAGTTGCAAACAATATTTTTTCTACAACTCCATTTAATTATCGATTATTCGAAGCCAAAATTGCATTTTCAATCAAAGGTAGGTGAATTTTAATTATTTTTGGTTTCCTGACAGGTATGTGTCACCATGACACCAGTGTGCGAACTAGCTATTTCGCGCACTAGTGTGCGAAATAGCTAGTTCGCTCACTGGTGTTATGGGAACGTTAAAAAATCAATACCTGGGAAAAAAAGTGTCACTTCGCAAACTGTCAGGAGTGTGCGAACATCATCATTTTTTGACAGTTGTAGAAAAAATATTTTTTTTTTTTTTAATTTTTAGTAATTCCCTATACCAAATGGAAGCATTTTCTACTATCTTGTTGCAGCTTAAACATTTTTATTACATATGGGTGGTTTAGGGGTATTTTTTCCCTTCTGCCAACCCTACAGGTTACGCCCCAATGATATTCGTAATCTACATATTTTTCCGAAAATTTTGATGTATAGCACTATATTGCTTCACAAAGTTGCATACGGATTACTAAGTAATTCAAAACTGACTATTATAAACGTCTGCTCGTTTCAAACATTTTTTCACTGGCGGCTCATCGCAGGCATACGGAACCATGGCACTACCTTATTTTTCAATAAAAATATTTTTTTTGTCCTATAAAAATATTAGAAGTGCGCGAATATGCCATCAAGATGTGTGATTTTAACGATTTATGGGCGTGGCACCTCAAAAAATTTCCGCCTCCGGCGGGCATCTGGTTTGCCCCCCCCCCAGAGCCTCAGGCTGGATAGGCCACTCTTTTTCTATTAGTATACATACTTGTCGTTTTTAGAAACATGTGATAAGGCCAATGCTGGCATATCAACACAGATAGACATTACAGTAAACAACATTCTGTTCCACCAAAATCTAGGAAAGCGATCTACCTCCCTGGTGTATCCCTTTCTGGAAACAGGCGGAATACGCTCTGCAATCGCCCATCAAAGTTATCTTATGAGAGTTAGAGGCAGATAGATAGATGAACGAGTTGCATCCGTGTGCATTTCTTCATTATTTTGGTCAAGTGACTGACGGGTTCCAGAGGGGAAGGCGGGTCTTGTTTACACCTCTGATGCATTCCCACCATGACCCCCCTCGAGCAGCTCACCTCTCTTATCCCATGGGGGATCTTGTCATCATAACAAATATCAGTTTATGAATGAGATGCTCTATCTATTTCTGTTAAAATGTCATTGGATAATGCATATTCAAGATTTATGGGGGGAATGGTGGACCCAGGTGGGAATAATATTGTACATTTTTGTCATTTTTCATAGGCCTGTCCTGACATAAGAGGCAATTTCCATAGATATTTGTTGTCGGTCCATTAATTGTAATTGGTTCAGGTATTGTTCAGTCTTTGTTTCAAATATCTACCAGTCTGTCCGATATAGTTTTTATTACATTGAGAGCAAGGAATATTGTACACTAAATTCGATATAATATTGTGCAACAAGTACTGAAAATAGCACGAGTGTGAAAAGTGCGTTTCACACGCGTTACACACTATACTTTTTCTACGACTGCGAAATAACTATAACTATATTCACATTGGAATTTATTTATTTATTTTTTTGTTGAAAAATTATTATTTGAAATTATAATCAACGAACAATTTTGGTACGTACGCTGAATGCACTCAGAGTTGCTTGTAGAACAAAAATTCAATGGAAGTGTCATTTTTATTTTAGCGTGCGAAAAGTACTTTTCGCACGGTTGGAGCGTGTGAAAAGTACTTTTCGCACGCTGTGTGAAATAATCGATTTTCTAGGTAAGTTAGTAGTGCGTTTTTAATAGCTTTCTAGGCAGTCGTAGGAAAATTCCTTTTTGGTCTTTGATCTGGATTTAGAGAAAAAAATTCTTTTTATGATAGGTATTTTGGCACTTAAAGATGAGTTCGACTTTTCACATTTTCTTAGATATATGGCCCTTGAACGTTCTTTTTATTTGTTCTGAGAATTTTCCAATATAATATGGGATTTTGCACAAAAGTTTTCTGTCACTTTGCTTCGTTGTTAGGATATCATCAACATAACGTTTATAGAACAGAAGTTGAAATGGAAGTTTTTTTATACAGCATTCCTGTAAATCTTGCATCACCAAATCAGAACAAATTAGCAATAAACAGTTTCCCATCCCCAGACCATAAATTTGTTTGAAAAATTCATCCTGGTACTGGAAATAACTGTTGTCGAAAACGAAAATCAACAGATGTATGAACGTTCGTAGGGGAATTTTGACTTTGTTTTCTATGACATGTCATTTTTTACTCACAATATTAATAACTACCTACATCTGAAGGGATGTTTGTGAATAATGAAATAACATCCAGAGATATAACTTGGTAGTTCATTCGTAACTTGATACTCCTGAAACCTGAAGATGCAATATATGTAACATATTGCGAAACGTTGACAATCTAAAATAACAGGCTTCTATTATTTTATTTCGATCCAATCCCGAACAAAACCTCAACCAATTAATATATTATACAAAAATTTAATGAAATGTAAATAACTGACATACGGACATACCCAATAAGGTTTAAACACTGGCCCATCTGCAGTAAAACAAATACACTGTTTATCTTCGTTTTCGGCTAATTTCGTTTCTTCTTTGCACTTGTACTTGTGCCATTTGCCATTGTGCATTTGACAGAACCATTTTTGTCCATTACGACATGGTAATTTAGTGTCGAAGAAGCATCGGAAGGTTTCTCTGCCAACTCTTGTGGAAACTGGAAAATATTTTTTTTAAATTTCTATACTTGTTCGGATAAAAAAACATCGCAAAAATGGTTAACAGAAGATCACATTTTCACACTTCACTCGTTCAGTGTAGCCCATAACACTATTATCATAGGTATAAGTCATTACTCATTACTTTAATAAAAACTTATTACCTCCCTGATTAAATTCAGCGAATTTCTGTTTGATGTTCACAAATCCGCTCCCATTAAGTTTCCCGTGCACGTCATTGTTACGGTTTTCATCTACAAATATCTTTTTCTGGATGGCTTCCAACGGGTTCAAATTTTTATACAGTTGTATTAGTAGATCGTTACTGATTCCACTTCTTTGCGTAAAGTTCCATTTTTCCAGTAGGTCTTTAGGCACTGAGTATTGTAACAGATTGTTTTCATATTGTTTAGTTTGTAAATGGGGCGTTTCACGACGACCTGAACTTAAAAATACAATGGAGTTTAGTGTAACTTATTGAGATATTTGAGAGAAATTAATTTCTTTAAAAAAATTGATTGTGTAGGTACAACATATCATTAAGTAATTCTATTTACCTCTCAATCAAAAATGTATCAGGCCATTTAAGTTTCCTTTTTCCATTACCAAATATCGCAGGTAGTATTGAACGTCCGTCCATTTGCGTTGGTGCTTTGATACCAGCAATATCCAAAAATGTTGGTGCTAAATCGATATTTAGCACGATTTCGTTTTTGGTACCACCCCGCTCAATACCTGGACCTCGTACTAGAAACGGTACTCTGACGTCGAATTCGAATGGAAAACTTTTACCCTGCGGAAATTTGAATGATTTAAGTACGCGAATTGAAATTGAAAATTTGCTCTTTTCATGTCTAGAAAAACTATGCTGAAAAATTTACCTTAACTAATCCGAACTGCCCCAAATGGTACCCATGATCGCTGGTGTAAACCACAAAAGAATTTTCCAGCTCTTCTAAACTATCCAGCTCGTTGATGACGTCTTCTACAGCCTTGTCTACAGACTGTAGAGTCTGTAGCCGTTTGGTCATCAACATATTGGTGAAATCTTTGTGTAACGGTTGCATTTGGCCTGTCACTTGTAGAATCCATTGTTTGTCGGGGTTCGGTGCGAAATTGTAGGAAGGTGTGCTAAAATTTAAGCATTGTAGTTTTTTCAAGTGGCTTCAACAAAATATTGCTAGTCAATATTTTGAATCAACAAACCTTAAACGTACTACTTAATTATGTGTATCTGCAACATATCAATCATACCAAGACCATTACACAATATGGCCATTTGATCCGCACCTTCCAGAACTTATAATTCTATATTTGCTTAGTAATAAAATTATTCTTCATTCATCTATACAACTTTTTCTGACTCACAATAGTAACAGTAACTGTTAATTTGACTTACTGATGTGTGGTGACATTAAAGTACAAATCCGAAAACTGCGGAGCAGAGTCCTCAGGACCATGAGGTGCCGGAAAAGCCATTACCAACATAATAGGTTTGTTGGGGAATTGTTTCTTCGAGTTCCTGATGAAATTCATAGCGTCTTTTGCTATGACGTCGGTGTAGTAGTCTTTGTCGTATTCGAATCCGTGTTTAATGTTCTGGCCGTTCATGTTTACCGAGTAATTGTAGTATTTGGAGTTCATTATTAGGCCGCCCCATTCCCTCCAACCAGGCGGGATGTATGTGCCATTATATTTGTTTAGATATTTTCCGAAATAACCTGAAAATAGGTTTGGTTTTGAAAGTACTCAACAGCTCTCTCTGCCTAGTGCTTGAAGTTAGGTATAGGTTAGTTTATGGATAAGTGGTATAAACCTCTAACCCAAACTAACCGTATCTTGCTAAATAAACGCTATTTGAACAATATAGCATCTTAACTCGACTAAACTACAATTGGCGACGAGAAAATTAACGAACAGAACGAACGATAGATAAACAAACAGAAATATCAACAAATATTTACAAACATGAGCACTGAATATCTACGACAGTTCAACTTGAAAAATTTTATCCTGAAAGAGAGGAATGGCAAGCAACGTTTTGAAATGGATCCATATGATATTGATCTATCAAAAACTGATTCAGACTCTAAACTGAAAAGGAAAAATCTCCTTCTTAGCAAGGTAGGATCAGACACTTTTAAGATACTTTTTGATTATTTTTAACCCAAAGTCATAGATAAATCCTACGAAGAATATTGATCAAAGTTTTAGACAAGTTTTATGGTAAAACAATTTATGTTTTATCAGAACATGCTTTTGTCGCAACCAGATTTCGAAAGGACGGAGAAACAATCCCGCAATATATGGCATCATCAAGAACGTCAGCCGGAAATTGCGAAATTGGTTGTTCCTTACAAAAACGTCTACGCGATCCCGTTAGTGATAGGCATCTAGAATACGACATGGCAACGAGAACTTATCAAGCAATATCCTTAACACTTCAACATTAGACGAAGTTCACAACAATCTTGTCTTCAGTAATAACGTTCATCGAGCCTTACAAGCAGTTGTGGAAACAACACATTCAGAATCAATAAACCAAATAATTGAAGACTTACAGAAATCAAAAATTTAAAAATCATACCTACTCAACCCTATAAGACGAACTGTCTTTCGTGCGGTGACTCAAGACATGAGAATATGCAACAGTGCCCAGCTAGAGAAAAACTATATTCACTCTGTTATTCCCCTTGAACCATTCTGCCAGAGTTTGCATTACAATGGTTAAAGCAGAAATACAAACTTCAAACGAACGTAAGACTCGTTACGTTAGAAGTAATCACCAACAAAAATATCATGATAATGAAAGTGATACAAGCTATTCTTCTGTGGATACCAACAATGTTCGAACAGTCAACAAAGGTACAAAAATACTTCTTGATATTTACATAAATATGAGCTTGAAATGCTGTACGATTTCGGATCTGTTTATTCACACTATCAATGCTGAAGGTTTACATCCAACAAATGAACATTTAAAAGCAATTCAAGAGATGCCAAAACCAAGCAACATATAGTCCAACAAATACCATTTTAAAGTCACGTGATTTTTCTCTATCCTTGTTGAATACATCACAAACAGCGGTGATAGTAAAATTGACAAAAAAATTGCTGTCTAATTATTGTTCATAATATTCTTACCTGAAATAGAATCCGTCACTGTCATCAATTAGTTTGTCAAAGTTATTTTCGAAAATAATACAACGAGCAAACACAGCTAATTAATAATTTTGACCATATTAACCTTTTTCCAAATGGAAAAGAAGCAAATAGAAAACAAGTACCCAATTCAAGTTCAGAATGTATTACAAGGGGCAGCAGAAGCGACAAAAGTGAGTCTCGCAACAATTGCAAGTATTAAAATTCTCATCTGATTGGTCAATACTACTTCAGAAACGCGTTTGTAAAATGCTAGTGGGAACATATATTAAAATTCAATAGTAATTACCCACCAGTAGCTTTTTGTAGGTGATATCAACGGCATAATCAATGGACATACGTTTTTTGCCACCAGTATCACGTGACTTTAAAATGGTATTTGTCGGACTATACCAGAACTTCTATCTTTCTTAGGTTCAATCACTTACTACAGTAGATTTATCAACAATTTTCATGTTATCTGCGTACCACTCTATGACAACCTCCAGAAAGGCAACACGTTTTCTTGGCCAAAAAAAGAACACTTGTTTCAAAAACCTAAATTTATTTTCACTTCATCTGATATTTTGGTACATTACGACCCACAATAGGGAACTTGCAAAATTTTTTTTAATTTCAAAAATGTGTTTTACTACACTAAAGACTGAGTCATACCAAATATCAAGCATTAAAAATCAGCCGTTAATTTTTTATAAATATTTAAAGTTACGCTCGGAACATCACCATTTAAAACCCACCAATTAGTGTGACGTCACTCGGCAACAAAATTCCGTTGACAGTGACGAGCACTTCGAACTTTGAGAGATTTAGATTATGGTTATGTTGTTATGTATGCCATTTACGATAGATTTGAAAATGGCAATACCAGCATGGGCGCCGCCAGCCAGCGGGACAGGGGGGGGGGCAAGGTACGGGGGTTCTGTCTCAAGGATGATACACACTACCAAGGATGGCTTATCCTCATAAGGCCTGTGTGTAACAAATCCCCCCCTACCCCGCCTATCCAAAAAATCAGTTGTGACGTAAACATCATGGCGTTTTTCGTCTTGACGTAGGCTGTTTGCACCACAGGTTATGTTATGATCTGGCTGCTGGCTGGAAATTATGGAACTAGTTTCTAGTATAATTAAAGTCTAAAATTATAAAATTATATCAGATACATATAATCATGACTTTTAATCATTACTGTTGTGTTCCTCAATGCAAGTCTTGGGCTAAAAAAAAAAGCTGACAAAGGATTGAGTTTCTACATATTTCCCCTTGAAACAGGCCCATGGGTTTATTTGGAAACGAAAATGGAAAAAGAAGTGTCGAGAAGAAAAGCCTTCTGGATTTTAAAACTTCGTATTGGCAAACCAGTCACCAAATTCATGAAAGTGTATTCTCTGCATCTCAATTAAGCAAGAATTTTGTGTTAAGGTAAACAAGCATAATGGATAGTTTTGTGCCCTAGCTTTATTTTAGGCCTGCTTCTAGGCATTTATCAAGTACTATCTATTTTTAAAATGTTTTGTTTGAAAATATTGACGAGTTTTATAATACCCACCCTTAGAGGTACAGGTAGAGGTCGGATATTGAAGTTGTACCATCCCAGAATTTGCCCTCTTCTATAGTGATCCATAAACCGAGCCAAAAAATAGATTCCATGGGTGCTGAAAAACTTGCCGAAAGAAAAAGAAATCAAGATTCTAGTGAGACTGATACAAGTAATGAATGTAGTTATACTTTTAATCAATTATTAAACTCTTCTCAGATAGGCATACAAATGGCCGAGCAAACAGCAGAACGTGTAAAGTGTTTATTAAATCCTAATTACCAGTATTATATTATAGGTAGTTTGAGTAAAAATCAGATTTGTGGTCAAGTTATTTGACTTTGTTAATTTAATTTTCACCTATTTATAAATAAAAATAAAGAGTTATTTATAAAATGTTTATTTATTTATTACACATACAAGTTATTCAAATACAGACATTATAAGGGAGATCCATACCAGCCTTGAGACCCTTTTGGCAATGTCCTATTGTAGAAAGTTTACAAAAATATAAGAAAAAGATCCGGTTAGGCTGTTGTATACTGTACAGATATAATGATTTCGGGTCAGATAAATGAAATAGATTATAATGAATTTTGGCCTGCATCATCACGAGCAGCATTATGGGTGAAAATTATTACCCAGTGTGAAACTTTCGAGAACAGTGAATAAATAAGTCGATATTGCATTTGCAGCACATTGTTCTTCCTCGGCTGCTACAGTTTTGACCACCACATCGTTTTTTTTTACGTTCAGGAAAAGTGTTTCAATAATAATGCAGTCCATAATACCTTATATCATTATTGACTCAAAAATCACTTGCTGCAGCCCGAAGCATATTCTCCTGTAGCGCAAGGCGGTACTTTATATTTCCTCGGGTATGTCTGAAAATAAAAATAAAGTTAAAATTGTATGATTTCCCAAAAAATTGTTAATTCTACTCTACCTGTGATATATTTCCCATTCGAATAAACAATTTCTGCACTAGCACAAAAGTTGCCTAGTAGATAAGTCAAAACCACGTTCCTCATCTGCTGAATCTTAGTCAGTGAGCTCTTTGCTTTCTGTGTGGGCTCGATATATTATGCCATCAACATTTTCATTATCATAAGCAGTATGCAGTATTCAAAGCTTCCTGATGGCTAATTCCACAAACAAAATGTAAGTACAGCTAAAAATGTTAGCTTCTGCCCAGGCCCATATGCCATATATGGGACAGTAATATACAAGAATATAATACATAAACAAACAATTTATGCTCGAATAGGAATATGTTATAATAATATGAGAAAACCCTAAAAACAATTAAATAGTATAGAATAAATTATCTTATAGTTATTATACTTACATAAAGAAATGTAAACAAAACGCCGCGTAATTCTCCTAGCGCTCCATTAAATCATACATGCTGAAAACGTGTAAATAGGCGGAATGACGAAAGCTAGCCAGATATCGCGCTACTGGTTCCATCATAGCATAGGGTACCTTTACCCGCTATAATGGTTAATCAAAATCAAAATAAAATATTTTTCATGACAAATTATAAATTTATAAAACCGCTGGCGCAAACAGCTGGCGACTTTGTTATGACGTCAGCAGTGGTTGGAAACAGTTGAAAACCAATATGGCGGCAATTACCCAAAAAGGGGCCGATAAGCACTCCTTAGTAAGTTTATTCTCCTTGGTTCTGTCTCCGTACATGCGCCACCGGTGTAAATTTTCGCAAATGTGAAGGTCATTCACTTTTCCATAACTTACCCTATGCATCGCTTATCAGTTTAAGGGTGGGTATTATAAAACTACTTTGAGAGTTAACTCAAAGTTAACTTCTGGAATTACATGTAATTCAAAAAGTTAACTTCAAGTTAACTGCCAAAGCAGTTTTATAATACCCGCCCTAAGTCTGTTGATAACTAAAAAAATAATTAAATTACAACTATTGTTTCATTGAACGTGAAAACGTGCCTGCAGTTCAGTTTGGTAATATGCAACTTTTTTTTGTGTGCCTATTCCTCACTAGTTGTA